GACAAAACCAAACAACAACCAACAGGATGGGAGAAGTTATTTCCAAATGTCTTATCAGATAAACGGCTAGTACCCCAAATCTAGAACTTAGGAAGCTCAACACCCAAAGAACAAATAATCCAATCAAGAAATGGGCAGAGGGGGCGCCTGGGTGGCTCAGTGGTTTAAAGCCTCTGCCTTCAGCTCAGGTCATGATCCCAGGGTCCTGGGATCGAGCTCTGCATCAGGCTCTCTGCTTAACAGGGAGCCTGCTTCCTCCTCCTCCTCCTCTCTCTCTCTCTCTCTCTCTCTCTCTGCCTCTCTGCCTACTTGTGATCTCTGTCTGTCAAATAAATAAATAAAATCTAAAAAAAAAAAAAAGAAATGAGCAGAGGACATGAACAGACATTTCTGCAAAGAAGACATCCAGATGGCCAACAGACACATGAAAAAGTGCTCCACATCACTTGGCATCAGGGAAATACAAATCAAAACCTCAATGAGATACCACCTCACAGCAGTTAGAATGGCTAAAATTAACCAGTCAGGAAATGACAGGTGTTGGCGAGGATGCAGAGAAAGGGGAAACCTCCTACACTGTTGGTGGGAACGCACGCTGGTGTAGCCATTCTGGAAAACAGTATGAAGGTTCCTCAAAAAGTTGAATGACCTATGACCCAATGACCCAGCAATCACACTACTGGGTATTTACCCCAAAGATACAAATGTAGTGATCTGAAGGGGCACCTGCACCCCAGTATTTATAGCAGCAATGTCCACAACAGGCAAACCATGGAAAGAGCTCAGATGTCCACGGGCAGATGAACAGACAAAGAAGATGTGGTGTATATATACAATGAAATACTACTCAGCCACCAAAAAAATCAAATCAAACCATTTGCAATGATGTAGATGAAACTAGAGGGTATTATGCTGAGTGAAAAAGTCAATCAGAGAAAGACAATCACCATATGATCTCACTCATATGTAGAATTTAAGAAACAAAACAGAGAATCATGGGGGAAGGGACGGAAAAGTAAAAAAAGATGAAATCAGAGAAGGAGACAAACCATAAAAGACTATTAATCATAGGAAACAAACTGAAGGTTGCAGGAGGGGAGGGGGTAGGGGGCTGGGGTAACTGGGTGATGGGCATTAAGGAGGGTATATGATATAATGAGCACTGGGTATTTATAAGACTGATGAGGGGTGCTAGGTGGCTCAGTCTGTTGGGTGTCTGCCTTCAGCTCAGATCATGATCCTGGAAACACGGGATTAAGCCCCATATTGGGCTCCCTGCTCAGTGGGGAGCCTGCTTCTCTCTCTGCCACTCATCCTGCTCTTGCTGTCTCCTAAGTAAATACAATCTTTTTTTTTTTTTTTTTGAAGACTGTATTTATTTATTTGACGGACAGAGATCACAAATAGGCAGAGAGGTAGGCAGGGAGAGGAGGGGAAGCAGGTTCCCTGCTGAGCAAAGAGCCCGATACAGGGCTTGATCCCAGGACCCTGGGACCATCCAAGTCAAAGGCAGAGGCTTTAACCCACTGAGCCACCCAGGTGCCCCATAAATAAAATCTTAAAAAAAAAGATTGATGAATCACTCAACTCCACTTCTGAAAATAATAATGTACTATATGTTAATTGAATTTAAATAAAAAATAAAAATAAAAAATAGAAGCAGTTATCAAATATGGGTTAAGAAACACGAGTTAAAAACACATGATCTAATTAAATGTATGAAATTTAAGAACCTCCCAATATTTCAGAGAGGTGATTTTAAGGCATAGGTGAGAATGTAAGGGTTTTAAGAGGTTAAAGTAAAAGGTAGGAAGTTGGAAGTCCGAGCACCCCTTTCAGGTCTTGAGAAAACAGGTGGAGCCCAAGGTGAAGCTGCCTTTTGTCTGAAACCTTCAGGGTTTTCCCAGCTTCTGCTCTAAAGTCTAAATGTAGGGGTGGTTTTTGTATTTAGGGGTTTTCTTGGTACTGATTTGACAAATCTACCACAAAACCTTGGAATAAAAAGATACCACTCCTTATATTCTCATACAAATCTTTAACCTTTAAAGACCATCTCATAAGAGAGAGTGAGAGGCATAATCTTCTGTGGATAAGAGCTCCTGCTAGTTGTTACCGTAACTGCTGTCATAAACATGGGATTTGGGGTCAGATAAAGAATCTCCCCGATTAAAGCAGCATATGGGAGAGCCTGGTCTTCAGGGTGTGATGTTTCTGCCTGCTATCTAAAAAGATTTCTTGGGGCACCTGGGTGGCTCAGTCAGTTAAGCATCTGACTCTTGGTTTCAGCTCAGGTCATGATCTTGTGGCTACGGGATCGAGCCCCACATTGGGCTCTGTGCTCAGTGCAGAGTTGACTTCAGATTCTCTCTCCCCCCTCTCTCTGCTCACTCACTCTCTCAAGTAAATAAAATCTTTAAGAAATAATTAAAAAAAAAGATTTCTTATGGAAAAATATTCAAGGATAATTTGTTAGGACAAAATGTTTTACTTCCATCATTAAAAAAAATTTAAGAACATATGTTCACATACAAACTAGTACAAGAATGTTCACAGCAGCACTATTCATAATAGCCCCAAAGTGCCAACAACCCTAGTGCCCATCAGCTGATGACTGGATAAATAAGATGTGATACAGCCATACAACTGAATGTTACTTTTTTTTTTTTAAGATTTTATTTATTTATTTGACAGAGAGAAATCACAAGTAGATGGAGAGGCAGGCAGAGAGAGAGAGAGAGAGAGGGAAGCAGGCTCCCTGCTGAGCAGAGAGCCCGATGCGGGACTCTATCCCAGGACCCTGAGATCATGACCTGAGCTGAAGGCAGCGGCTTAACCCACTGAGCCACCCAGGCGCCCTGAATGTTACTTTTATTCCACAGAAAGGAACACAGTACTGGTCTGTGCAGATTCTTGCTATCACATCACGAATCTTGAACACATTATGTTCAGTGAGAGAAGCCAGTCACAAAAGACCATGTATTCTGTGATTCCATTTATATGAAATGTTCAGAATAGGCAAATCTCTAGAGACAGAAAGTAGATGCTGGTTGCCCTAGGGCTGGGGTGGGGGTGGGGCTGAGGGAAAATGGGCAGTGGCTGCAAATGGGCACCCTACTGAGTTGATAAGTGTCCCTTCCCCCAAATTTAGAACAAAAATGTTCTAAAATTGATTGTGGTGATGGCTGTGCAACTTTGTGGATAAACTAAAAGCCACTAAATTGTATAATTTAAATGGGTAAATTGTATGGAATGTAAATTATATTCCAATAAAGCTGTTATTAAAAAAACATTCAGGGGCGCCTGGGTGGCTCAGTGGGTTAAGCTTCTGCCTTTAGCTTAGGTCATGATCCCAGGGTTCTGGGATCGAGACCCACATTGGGCTCTCTGCTGAGCAGGGAGCCTGCTTCTCCCTCTCTCTCTCTGCCTGCCTCTCTGCCTACTTGTGATCTCTGTCAAATGAATAAATAAAATCTTTAAAAAAAAAATTCAAAGCTATACAAAAATGGTGGGCACCTGGCTGCCTCAGTCAGTGGAATGCATGACTCTTGATCTTGGGGTTGTGAGTCTGAGCCCCATGTTGGGTGCAGAGATTACTTAAAAATAAAATCTTAAGGAGGTGGTTGGGGGATTGTGGTAACTGGGGGATGGGCATTAAGGAGGCACCAGAGGTAGTGAGCGCTGGGTGTTCTAGGCAACTGAGAAATCACTAAATTCTCCCTCTGAAAGCAGTAATACAGGATATGTTAACTAAAATGAATTTATATAAAAAGTTAAAAAATAAAATCTTTAAAAAAAAAGGCTGAAGAACTTTGAGAAGGATCTTGAATAATCCCAACAGGGAGAACTTCCCTTGCCGTCAGTGACTGAAGGTATGGAGAGGCTGAGAGTTAAATATTACATGTTGGTTGCTAGGTCTGCTGCCGATCTGCTATACAGACTTTTGGCCTTTTATTCTTTTCTTTTATTTTTTTTTAAAGATTTTATTTTTTTGACAGACAGAGATCACAAGTAGGCAGAGAGGCAGGCAGAGAGAGGGGGGGAAGCAGGCTCCCCGCTGAGCAGAGAGCCCGATGTAGGGCTCGATCCCAGGACCCTGGGATCAAGACCTGAGCTGAAGGCAGAGGCTTTAACGCACTGAGCCACCCAGGCGCCCCAGACTTTTGGCCTTTTAGACAGAACTCTTTCAGTTGCAAGCTACAGAAAACCTACTCAACCAGGCTGAACCAAAATAATACAAATTTAAGTCACATACTTGGGAGTCCAGGGTGAGCAGGGGCATCCAGACAAGGTCACGGGAACAGATTTCCTTCTCGACTGCCTTCATTCTCAAGCTGCCCATTGCTGTGTGGTGGCAAAAGCAGCCACAGGTGGTCCCACGACTCTGTGGCCTTTATAGCTCCTGGTACAAGAGAGAGACTCTTTCCTGCTAGCTCTCGCAGCGGTTCCGGGATTATCGGGCTGGCTCCCACTCTCACAGCCAGGGAGAAAGGTCTGCTTCAACCAAGTGCCGTGGGTAGAGCAGGAAAGGGTAGTTCTCCCAGGAAGAAAGGCTGGGTAGAGAAAACCCGTCCACAGCACCAAAGGAAGCGCTAAAACTTGCCGATCTGAACATCATCTCCACCCCATAAACACTTGCCAAAGCAAGAACACGCAAAACAGAGCAACCACAGAGTCCTTTTAAAGCATCGCTTTCCACGTTCTTATTCCATTATTTTAGAGAAGCAATAACACACAAGGCAGCACAGATGCGAAGGTCACCAGCTAGATGCCATTTCAGCAGAGAGAGCGACTTCAATCAAGGATAGCCTGTTCCGTGTTCCAGAGTTCTGTCTGAAGTGACAGGTCACTCTGGTAGATGGCAGATCTTTTTTTGGCGATCTTCGCTTGCCTGACTCGGCCACAAGAAAAGCTCCGTTTTGTCCAGCACAAAAGCAAGCAGCGGTCCAGTGTGAAGAGCTGGAAAACTCTGCCACCAACGTGCTTGATGCAGTCTGCGCTTCTCATGTGAACTGGTGATAATCTGGCGGGTTGCGGAGCCAGGACCCAAAGGCCTGCTTCCGGAGCGCACTCCAGGCTTCCTGGTAAGCAGATGCGGCCTCCTTGTACTCGTGGTATGTCTCCAGCTTCCGCAGCCTAATGCACACACACCAGCAAGCACACGGGTTCTCCGCGATCAGTCAGCAGGGCGGCCAACTGAGCCAGCGGCCGGACAGACTTCTAACCAGAGACCTAGGAACAGACCTCGGAACAGGAGGATTTTGTATGCTTTCCTACAGCAACTCTCTCTAGTGTAAGAAACTCACCAGAAGGCAACATGGATTGAAACAGGTGATAATCAATAATGCTAGTCTTGTTTGGTCCTGGTGCAATCAGACAAATAACTACTTTTTGGCTTAAAGTGTTCCGGGAAATGGCTTCCTGCAAAGAAGTCCGCTTCCCTGTCAGACTCACGGACGCCCCCTAGGCCTACCTATGACAGATGCTCCAAACTCCCATTCTGTCTCAGAGACTAGCTGAACTGCTTGTACATTACACCAAACTGGACAAAATTCTCGCTTTTGTGACCAACATTAGTTATGCTTCTGTCCTTCCCCCAGGCCCTTAACTCTGATCCACCCTCAGCCTGAGCCAGCATCAGAATGTGTAGTGAGCCCTTCATAACAAACTATCCCCCCAGCGCCCTCCACCCCACCGAGAATCGACTGATCTCAAGAAAAGACATTTCCCATTTCCTGTCCACCTGTCCCCTCACACTGACTGAGTCTCCCATGCCCCCTTCCCGCTTCTTTCTAGCCTCGCTCACGGCTCCCCACAAAGGAAGGCTCTTTCCCACCTGCCCTGGAGGCTTACAAACCAAACGACCTCAGCGCCCTCACTTTGGCATCAGGCCTGCTGCTGCTCTAATGGCCCCTCTCTTACTGCAGTGATCCTCTGGAATCAAGTTTCTCCTGATCTTAGTTCAGAGTTGTTTTCACTGACACACAAAATGTCTGGAACCCGCCCCCTGGTCAGTTTGATTCATTTTTCTAGATAAAAAATCGAGCAAATGGACTGCAGGGCAGCATTACTGACTATAGTGTGCACAGTGGTGACAGCAAGGGGCTAGCCTGCTCGGGGAGAAGTTTCTAGCAACGCCTCAGCTTCCCCACTGTACACAGAACGATAAAGAATTTGGCAGGTCTTGCTGTCAGTTGCTGAGATGGAACCTCCAAACCTTCTCAATTTTCCTGGGGGCAGGAACGTCTTTGTTTTTCATGGTGGACCCCTGTGATTACCCGAGTTTACACTAAATGAGGTGACTCCTGGTGGGCCCTAACTGATCAGGGTGCGGCTGCCATGCCAGAAAGACTAACCACAGAGTACAGTGGGTCATTCTATCGGTCTGATCTCCTGACCGGAGGGGGAGATGGTGAATGAGTTCAGTCACATCACGCGGCCCACTATTCGGTCAGGCTGACTTAATGAAACCAGCGAAAACTCTGGACACTGAAACTTGGGTCCCCCTTCTGGCTGGTGATAACAAGTGATGTGCTGGGGGGTGACCCTTCTTTTAGCTGCTTCTGGTTCATATCCTTCACAATACAAAGGAATTGTTCAGTACAGTGCTTTCCTGAATTCAAGAGCTGTTCTAGTGAGTCTGTAGGTAGCGGTCAGAAGCCTGAGCGGCTTGTGTCTGACCTATGAAGTGAGGGGCACCGACCTCCAGTAGTTAGTGTCTGAACTGTCCCACCCAGCCGTGCCAGCAGCAGACTGAGAGTTCTGTACATTCCTGCTTGGTGGCAATTTCATTCATGGAGCTGCAGCTCACAACCACTGACGTGAGCGGAAGAGAAGGGAGTCACGCTCCTAACACACTCTACTCTCCCCAAACCCTCACATGTCAGCCTGGCTCTCCATGTGGAGGAGGGTGAAAGGAGAGCCTGGAACGGGCCAAACCCCGATTCCTCCCCCCCTCCACAATATCCTCTGTAACGGCACCACTAAGCCAACCATCCTGCACACCTCAGATGTGTGTTGGCAATCAGAGCCCCAGAGAGAGAGCAGCGCACGAGCGGTAATTAAGTGCCCACGGACTCCCGCCAAGGCTTCCTGCCATTCGTAAGGCAGAATTAACCCACAAATCTTCCTAAATATGAAAAAACATGGGTCAACAACATCACCTGAGGGAGTCTGGCCACTTGTCCTCCGAAATACTGCTTAGCAGTTTCTGGAATGATCTAAAGAGTTCCACTTTGCTGATCCGGGATCTGTTTGGAAGCAGAGGACAAAGAGGTTTATTAGAAGTGCTGAGCGCGTACCAGCCCCTCCGAGATGCTGGGCTTCACACGGAGCTTTCTTATGCTTGAATGCACCAAGGCCCCATTTCCACCTGTTCTTCACATGAAGGACATCTAGACCTGATTGGGGTGAGGGAGAAAAAGCAATCTCATCTTAAGAAGTGTCACCAGCAGGGGCGCCTGGGTGGCTCAATGGGTTAAAGCCTCTGCCTTCGACTCAGGTCATGATCCCAGGGTCCTGGGATCGAGCCCCGTGTCAGGCTCTCTGCTCAGCAGGGAGCCTGCTTTCCTTCCTCTCTCTCTCTCTCTCTCTCTGCCTGCCTCTCTGCCTACTTGTGTTCTCTGTCAAATAAATAAAACAAAACAAAAAGAAGTGTCATCAGCAGCAAAATCATCAAGATGACATGCTCATGTGAGGTAAAGGGGGAGATGGCATTACTAAACTCTCTCCAGGACACCCACAGCCACACCGGGCTACCTCTCCTCAAGGGAGCTGAGCCGGTGGGTAATACTGCTCAAGGCACTGTAGTGGTTTCAGCCTCGAGGGCTGTTCCCTGTGGGAGCTGCGGTCATAAAGTCCACTTGGATGAGCTCTGGACACAGAGTCTCCTGACTATCCTCTGGGCACTGTGCGCCTTTGAGGCCAACCCTTGGCTTCCACCACAAAGCCTCATGCAGGCCCCATTTTGGAACATCGGGCAAAGTGAGTGTGGCCAGGCCACTTGGCCACCGGCCCACCAGGGCCTTCTTGCTTTTGGCCATCCATGCTGCCAGGATCTGGCCTGTATGTGCCTCCTTTCCCTCCCTTACACAGCTCCCGAGCTGACTGAGAGTAGGGAAGCATGTCGGCCAACAATGGGTGGTCTCATCCTTACACACCAGAGGCTTCGCTGTTCTCACACACTGTACCATTAGCTTGGACGCCGTGGCCAAACCGGGATATGTGAAATAGGGAAGTGTACCATCTGTCAAGAAGTTCCCTTACCTGGCTGGCACCTAGGCTACTTAGCAGGGGGCCCTGAGCCCTCACACGCTGCTCTCCCTGGCCCCTCACTGAGCTGGTGTGGCAGCTGGAGCTTGGGAACATAAGGTTCCTCTAACATTAAAAAAAAGAAAAAAACAAACAAAACAAAAACCCAAAGCCAAAAAACTAATGAAACTTATTTTGTTAACAGATTAAAGGAGAAATGTAATATAATCGTGAGAAACTCCCCCACCCCATAAATAAATAAGTGAAATCTTAAAAAAAAAAAAAAAAAAAAAAGCGGGGGGCGGGGTGGAGCTCTGGGTGGCTCAGTTGGTTAAGGCCTGGCTCCTGATTTTGGCTCAGGTCATGGTCTCAGGGTTGTGAGATCGAGCCCCGCATCAGGAGCCATGCTCAGGGCAATCTGTTGTCCCTCTCCCTCTGCTCCTGCCCCTTCTCATGCGCTCTCTCTCTCTCAAATAAATAAATAACATCTTTGAAAAATTTTTTGTGAGAAAAAACATGCAGTGAAGCATCTGTTAGAATTCAACATCCACAGAAGATTTAAAACCATTTAGCAAATGAGGATTAGGAAAAAGACAGTATTTATGGCTGTAAGGGATGTCTATAAAAACCTGCAGCAAATTCACGTCCTTAAAATCAGGAATAAGACAAGGGCACTGCTTTTATCCCATGTTACCCAGAAGGTTCTGGCCAGTAAGACAAGAAATAAAAGGAGTAAGGATTAAAACACAAAAACCAAAATCATTATTTGCCAATGACCGGCAGACTGTCAGTTCTAGCCAGGAGAGTAAATCAAGGAAAAATAAATAAATAAAAGGAATGGAGGGTTGGAAAGGAAATATTTGCAAAAGATCGTTTACTTTGGGGGCGCCTGGGTGGCTCAGTGGGTTTAAGCCTCTGCTTTCAGCTCAGGTCATGATCCCAGGGTCCTGGGATCGAGCCCTGCATCGGGCTCTCTGCTCAGCGGGGAGCCTGCTTTCCTTCCTCTCTCTCTGCCTGCCTCTTTGCCTACTTGTGATCTCTGTCAAATAAATTAAAAAAAAAAAATCGTTTACTTTGGGGGAAAAAAAAAAAAAGCAACAGAATTCCCAGATAAATTAGGAGAGTAAGAAGTTAACAAGGTTGCTGGATACAAACATTAGCTGCAACAGGGAAAAACAAAAAACTGATTACAACAGCAGTGAGCAGAAAATGAAATATAAAGAAATTACTTAAAATAGCATTGTAGTAGCTGACCTCAAAGAGGATGATTTTTTTTTTTTTTTAAAGATTTATTTGGGGAGGGGTGGAGAAAGTACACAGCTGCGTGCACGCACACACAACCCAACACAGGGCTCAATTCCAGGACCCCGAGAGCACGACCTGAGCTAAAATCAAGAGTCACTTAGCAAACTGAGCCACCCAGGTGCCCCATGGTGATTTTTTAAAAAACTGATGTATAGTTGACTTACAATGTTATATTAGTTTCAGGTGTATAACACAGTGATTTGACAATTATTTATGTTATGAAACGCTCATCACGGTAAACACAGTTTCTGTCTCTCACCACATGAAGTTATTACAGGATTACTGATTGTACCTTGATGCTGTACTCTTCGTCCTCATGATTTATTTTATAACTGGAAGTCTGTACTTTTTTTTTTTTGAAGATATTATTTATTTATTTGAGAGAGAGAGAGAAAGAGAGAGTACAAATTGGGGGAGGGGTAGAGGGAGAAGCAGGCTCCCAAAGGAGCAGGAAGCCTCATGTGGGACTCGATCCCAGGATCCCGGGATCATGACCTGAGCTGAAGGCAGAGGCTTAACCAACCGAGCCCCCCAGGCACCCCTGGAAGTCTGTACTTCTTAATCCCCTTCCTCTATTCTCGCCCATCCCGAACCCTTCCCCTCCCCTCTGGCAACCACCAGTCTGTTCTGTATTTCTGAGTCTGTTTCATCATTCTAGGGGACAGGACCATACATCTTACTGTTCAAGAAGTCTAGAGAGTCTTATAGACTCTCTTACAGACTCAACACTTGCGCTGCCCACCTTACCCAGAATAGGTAAAGGAGAAACATCAAAAATAAACTAGTGTCTTGCCTGACGCTCCTGCTTCCTTTTGAAACACTGAAAGGTGAGCTCTTGAAACTTCTGCTATAGCCCAGGGGCCACTGATGTGCAACTATGCGAGAACATCTGGGTTTATTTTTACAGAGTGTGAATGGAGCATACGAAGGCCTTTCATTCACCCAAATAAGAAACCTTAGCAATCAGCCATGCCTATCCGGAGCTGGAGATGGTTCCCCATCAAGGTGTGTTAAAGAAACACATCACTTAAACCTCCCTGGAAGGAGCCCTAATGGATTCCGTTTACCACCAACATTGTAGTGCAATGTCAAGGCCTCCAGGTTCACCGTAAGAAGCCATCAGTGTGAGTGAGCTTAACAGCTTCTGGAGACCAGGTCTGTAAATGGTTCCAACATTTTTCCCTCGGGAGGAACAAAGCCCTTTCTCTTATCAATGTTTCCAACCTAAGGCAACGGCCTTGTGAGTAACGTTAAGGTACATATACCTATAAAGACAGAAGGGAGATGCTGGGAACCTCTCCTCTGCTGAAACAGAGCTCCCTCAAGAGAAGTAAGACCTTTCTGAAGATCTATTCAACAGCAGAACGGAGTGGCCATACTAGTTACTCCTCCGTCAATGAGACCTACTCAGTAATCCCCACTCGGGTCATCTGTGGAGCACAGCAACCCTCCACAGCAATCATGGCAGCTGCCACTCTCCAGGGAGCCCTGGTTCCTTTCAGCAGCAAGGATTACACTCTTGGTATTAGGTTTTCCTCAGGAAAAACATTGCTGGTTGGTGCATCAAGGAGCTAGAAAAGATATACACACAAGTATACTTTCTTTAAGATTACACATTTACATTGGTATTCTTTTTAAAAAAGATTTTATTTTTTTGGGAGCGGACACAGATGGAGAGTGAGAGGGAGAAGCAGCCCCCTGCTGAGCAGGGAGCCCAACACAGGGCTCGATCCCAGGACCCTGGGACCATGACCTGAGCCAAAGGCAGACGCTTAACCAACTGAGCTGCCCAGGCACCCTCTACATTGGTATTCTTTTTTTTTTTTTTTTTTTTAAGATTTTATTTATTTATTTGAGACAGAGAATGAGCAGTGGGGAGGGACAGAGGAAAAGGGAGAAGTAGGCTCCCCACTGAGCAGGGAGCCCGATGCAGGGCTCGATCCCAGGGTCCGGAAATTAGGACCTGAGCCAAGGGCAGAGGCTTAACTGACTCAGCCACTCAGGCGCCCCAACATTGGTATTCTTAATCTAGCCTTATCTTTAAGAAACTCAGATGCACTTAGGTTTTCTGTTTTTTTTTTTTTTTTTTTTTAATTCCTCATCCTTTTCTTTTATAATCCAGTGAGGCATGTAATGATCTCTCCGGGATCCTCTGGGATGGGAAGAGGATCTGCCACTTACAGGAAGAGTAAAATGAAACCTCTTGAAAATGAGGGTCTGTTATTATTGCATTGTGTAGAAAAGAACACAAAGACTTAAATGAAATATTTTTTTCTTGTACTGCATTAGTATACTAAATGTCTCTAACATCCCAGTCCACGTTCCTGTTCCCCACAGTTCTAAAGAAGGTGGTCCCAGGATGCCAGCATGAGGGCATGAGCCGTGAGAAAACCTGGGAGTCTTTGGAAGAAACTGACTCTTCCACACAGAATATGAAGCTTCTCTGAAGAAGGGAAGGGGAAATCAATCTTAACAAGATATCTGCCCTAAGCCTGCACGACCTTCGCCAGGACTTCTCACCACATTCGTGGGTGAAACATACTTTTAGTTCCCCTTGCTCTACAGTTGGGGAAACGGAGGCTCAGAGAGGTAAAGTAATTTGCCCAGGGTCACACCCTGGGGAGGAAGCGAACCAGGAATTAAACATCAGTCTCTTGAACCGTAAGGTTTCTGTTTTTGCCCTGCTCTACTTCCTCCCTTACGGAGTCTGCCTTCTAAACGGAGAGACATCTACAGCCTGTCACAGATCTCAGATCATCTACTCCAGTATCCTCATCTGACAAGAGATGCACGCATGGAGGCCTGGAGAGCAACTGGCCTTGTCCAAAGTCACGTGGATACTGGAGACAGAGAGAGCATGGGAATATGAGGTGCTCCCAGTCAACAGAGAGCGCCAACATACTGGGACAAGCTACAGAACAGCACTATGGGAATTTGAAAAGAGGACGGTAATTGTGAGCCAGAAGGCAGTGGTAGCTGAGTTGAGGTTTGAAGGTAAAACACACTCTGGTCGGTGGCTAACAGCTGGTCTCCTGAGAGATGCAAACAATGGCCTGGAGCCAGGAGGCCCTTGGGAAATCAGGCAATGGTTTCTTACCTGCGACACTAAAAGTACAAACCACCATAGGAAAAAACCAGATAAAATGGACTTCATCAAAATTTAAAACTTCCGTGCTTTAAAGGACCCTTTCAGAAAGTGAAAAGATAACCCACAGAATTGCAGAAAATATGTTCAAATACATATGTGAAAAAAGACTGGCATCCAGATTATACAAAGAAATGTTTCAACTCAACAATAAAAAGATAAACAAACAAATGGACAAAGGATCAGAATAGGTATTTCTCCAGAGAAGATACACAAATGGCAAATAAAACACGAAAGAATACTCAACATCAAAAGAAGCTCGAACAGTTATTAGGGAAAGGCACATCAAAACCACGAGATAGCTCTCATGCTCGCTAGAGTGGTTCCAATGAAAAAATCAGGCCACAGTGAGTGTCGTAAAGGATGTCGGGTAACTGAGACGCATCCATTGCTGGTGGGAGTTTAAATTGCTGCAGGTGCTACGGAAAATGTTTGGCAGTTCCTCCAAAAAGCAGAAAAGCAAAAAAACCCCAAGGTTATCACAGGACTCAGCAATTCCATGCCACGGTATACCCAGGAGAATTGAAAACATATGCCTGCCTAAAAGCTCATTATATCAATGTTCACGGCAGCACCATTTCTGATAGCCCCAAAGTGAAATAACCCAAATGGCCATGGACAAAAGGACGGATGAACAAAAAGCAGCGGGCAGACCCCCAAGAAATACCACAATGGTATATAGGAATGGACGACTGATACGTGTTACAACACGGACGAGCCCTGAAAACCTTGCGCTAAGTAAAATAAGCCGCATCCTGTATCTTACACAGCGGAATGTCCAGAAAGAACAAATCCACAGAGACATCACGTCGATTCATGGATGTCAGGGGCTGGAGTAGGGCCTGGGGAATGACTGCTAAGAGGGGTAGGGCAATGAAGACGTTCTGGAATTAGTGGTAAAGGGTGCCTGCACAGCCACCATCTCCTTCTGCCTCAACCTGCTTACCTGGCCTGAAGGCACCTGATGGCTTTCTTCGTTGTTCCCTGCGGAAAGCCATTGGCAGTGACATCCAGCGGCTGCTCGGGAACTGCGCTCCAGCTGATGGCTGTGCAAAGACAAGATTCTAGAGTTAAAACTCCTCAGTTTCCTGTGAATGTCAGAAGTGTTTTCACAAAAATACTTCCCTCTCTCCAAAATAAAGTCAACAGCTGCCACTCTGATGCCCGACCTCCAGAATACAGTGATTTAAAGAGGTTCTATAGTTTGTTCTATAGAGCTAACAGTCTCTCCTTCTTGGGGCACCTGGGTGGCTCAGTCAGTTAAGTGTCTGCCTTTGGCTCAGGTCATGATCCCTGGGACCTGGGATCCAGTCCCACATTGGGCTCCCTGCTCGGCAGGGAGTCTGCTTCTTTCTCTCCCTCTGCACCTCCCCCTGCTTGTGCACTGTCATATGAATACACAAAATATTAAAAAAAAAAAAAAAGACTGTTTCTTGGTTTGTCTCTTTTTTCCCCTTTGCTCATTGTTTCCTAAATTGTACATATGAGTGAGATCATATGGTATGCCTTTCTCTGCCTGACTTATTTTGCTTAGCATAATACACTCTAGCTGCATCCAAGTCCCTCCAAATGGCAAGATTTCATTTTCTTCTATGGCTGAGCAGTATCTTTATCCATTCGTCCGTCGATGGAAACTTGGGCTGCTTCCATAGCTTGGCTACTGTAAATAATGCTGCAGTGAACACAGGAGTGCATGTTTCCTCTCAGTTAGTGTTTTTGTACTTTTAAGGTAAATACCCGCTAGTGTGATTACTGGATCATAGGGTAGTTTTATTTTTAATTTTTTGAGGAACCTCCATACTGTTTTCCACAGTGGCTGCACCAGTTTGCATTCCCACCATTCCTACCAACAGCACAAAGAGGTTCCTTTTTCTCCACGTCCTTGCCAACACTTGTTTCTCGTGTTGATTTTAGTCATTCTGACAGGCGTCAGGTGATAGCTCACTGGGGTTTTGATCTGCATTTCCCCAATGATGAGTGATGCTGGGCATCTTCTCATGTGTCTGTTGGCCATCTGGATGTCTTCTTTTTTTTTTTTTTTTAATTTTATTTTATTTATTTATTTATATTTTTATTTTATTTTTTATAAACATATATTTTTTCCCCCAGGGGTACAGGTCTGTGAATCGCCAGGTTTACACACTTCACAGCACTCACCATAGCACATACCCTCCCCAATGTCCATAACCCCAACCCCCCTCTCCCAACCCCCCTCCCCCCAGCAACCCTCAGTTTGTTTTGTGAGATTAAGAGTCACTTATGGTTTATCTCCCTCCCAATCCCATCTTGCTTCATGGATGTCTTCTTTAAAGAAATGTCTGTTCATCCCTTCTGCCCGTTTTATTAATTGGATTAATTTTAAGAAATGATATTAAGAATTAATAGAATTCCTTAATTCTATTAATTAGTAATTAATAATTAATTAATTAAGAAATGACGTTCTTATCTGAAGATGAAGAGCCTGAGGCTAAGACAGGAAAAGTAAGTTGCCTGGTGTCTTGCAGAGCATGTCCCTGACTCAGTGTGGTCAAGCCTCTGCTACTGAGGACTCAGGTCAGAAGCTGCCTCCCTGGGCTGGGGGATGCAGCCCCCCTCCAGGCCACTCCATGGTCTGTGCAAAAGTTACTCAGGGCAAGTGGAACAGGGCAGATACTTTACCTGCGCCACAAGGAGCAAGTCGTCCTGGGCCATCAGCCCTTCTTGCCTGCACCGCGCTGTGGCCCTGTTCAAACAGTAAACCAGACTGCTGTATTTTCACTTCTTGAACTCCAAAGCCTTTGGGTAGCGCAGAGACGTTCCGACACCTAAATGTGAGGGAGAATGCACTCAGTTTCAGCATGGTCCTCTGGAAGACAGTGTCTACACCCATGGACCACTTCACCGCCCCTGAGTCTCAGTGAGAGGGTGTGAAAGAACCGAATCGAGATCTTACGAGCCATGTGGCCAGAGAAAGATCCCTTCCTATCTCTCTGAAGTGAAAATGATTAGCTGAGTCACCACCCCTCAGAGACTTTAGGGACACTAAACTCCAGTCCTGGTACTGGTTTTGAAAGACTGCAAACCCTCAAAGAGCAATATTAACTTGTCAGTATCTTTTCCTAGGGAATCGTCCAAACACACCAGAAACCAAAGCTCTCCTGTAACAGACAAGCTTCGTTTTTCCTTCTTGGGTCTTTCACACCATCTAGAGGCTACCATGACACTGCTCTGGAACTGAGCAGACTAGGGAAAGCACAGAAAACACCGAAAATGTCTTGGGCAGAGTGCTTAAGAGTGCTTTTGTTGAAAACATCATGCTGGGCTATAGTTGTATACCACAGAATTCATCCATTCTCAGTGTACAATTTAAGGTTTTGTTTGTTTTTTACTATATTCACAGAATTGTGCCACTGTCACCATAATCTGAATTTATCATGTTTGACCCCTGATAAGAAACCCTGCACCCATCAGCGGTCACTCCCCATGCATTTCTCCAGCACCCACCAACCTACTTCTGGATTTGCCTATTTTGGACATTTCGCTCCATGAAATCATCCGCTACATGGCTCCTCTCACTCAGCACGGAACTTTCGAGGCTCATCCGTGTGGTAGCTTGGGCCAGCCTTTGCTCCTTTTTGGGGCTGATGATCTAACAATCTATTATTACCTTTCGTTGATCTGTTCACCAGTTGATGCACATCTGGGCTGCTTCGTTTTGCGGCTGGTGTGACTTGTACCACTGTGAACGTTCATGTGTCGGTATTTACGTGGATGCATGTTTTCATTTCTCCTGGGTACACTCCCTGGGTGTGTTCCCTGGCCCTGGTCTCAGGAGCAGTACAACCGACATGACGGGCCTCCCCCCAGCAGTGGCCTCTCCCTGCCTTCTTTTACCACAGCCTTAACTGGGCTTGGCCACGCTTCCTTAGGGAGACCACACTTGAGTGATCATCCTTTGTCTTTTATCTTTTTTCTTTTTAAAGATTTTATTTATTTGACAGAGATCACAAGTAGGCAGAGAGGCAGGCAGAGAGAGAGAGGAGAAAGCAGGCTTCCCGCTGAGCAGAGAGCCTGCTGTGGGGCTCGATCCCAGGACGCTGAGATCATGACCTGAGCCGAAGGCAGAGGCTTAACCCAATGACCACCCAGGAGCCCCTGTCTTTTATCTTTTAAAGACACTGGTGGTTTTTAAAAATTAGAGTAGCAATATATATGTACGGGGCAGAACAATGAGAAAACAGAGTAACCACAAAGAAGAAAAAAAAAAACAAACACCCGTAATAACACAACTCAGAGATAATCATACTAATACCTTGGTGCATATCCTCCCATGATTTTTTTACTATGTGCATATATACTTTACGACCAACACGAACTCATTGTATCTTTAAACTTGCTCTTTAAAAATTATGACCATCTCCTGCAACTACACTACTGATTTACCCCAAAATACAGATGTGGTAAAAGGAAGGGCCATCTGTACCCCAATGTTCATAGCAGCAATGTCCACAATGGCCGAACTGTAGAAAGAGCCCAGATGCCCTTCAATGGACGAATGGATAAGGAAGATGTGGTCCATATATACAATGGAGTATTATGCCTCCATCAGAAAGGATGAATACCCAACTTGTGTATCAGCATGGATGGGACTGGAGGAGATTATGCTGAGTGAAATAAGTCAAGCAGAGAGAGTCAATTATCATATGGTTTCACTTACTTGTGGAGCATAAGGAATAACAGGGAGGACATGGAGAGAAGGAGAGGAGAAGTGAGTTGGGGGAAATCGGAGGGGGAGATGAACCATGAGAGACTGTGGACTCTGAGAAACTAAGGGTTTTGGAGGGGAGGGGAAGGGGGGATTGGGTGAGCCTGGAGGTGGGTATTACGGAGGCACATGTTGCATGGAGCACTGGGTGTGGTGCATAAACAATGAATCTTGGGGGGGCACCTGGGTGGCTCAGTAGGTTAAAGCTTCTGCCTTCGGCTCAGGTCATGATCCCAGGGTCCTGGGATCGAGCCCCGCATCGAGCTCTCTGCTCAGCAGGGAGCCTGTTTCCTCCTCTCTCTCTGCCTGCTTCTCTGCCTACTTGTGATCTCTATCTGTCAAATAAATAAATAAATAAATCTTGGAACATTGAAATAATAAAATAAAATTTTAAAAAAATTATGAGCATCTTTCCAGGTCCAACAGTCATCAATATTAGCTTTAAACCATTTCACTGGTTTCCTTTTCTTTTTTAAAAAACATGACTACACACAAAGCTAAATGTCTGAGCACTTTCTTAATTATTTCTTAGGACAAATTCCCAGCAATAGACCCAATGGATCAAAACGTATGGGTATTTTAATCTCTTCGGACATCTTCTGAGACCGCTTTTTGGAAAGGCTGTTCCAGCTGTACCCTCCCTCCTTCCCTCCTGGCTCACCTCCCGGTCAGAGCTCTATGCATCGCCTCCTGGCTGTATGGGCACCTCCCAATCACCACAGCTGATAGGTAGATGGGCTCTTCTAGAAGGTGCATCAACAGTGCCCCCTGGCATCCGAGGACGTTCCACCGGGCCAGCTTGTCACTGCAGGACAGGGAGCAAGTCCGGTCTCCCCGGCCAGGCTTCACTCGGAGCAGCCCCACCTGGTGATACGCAGCACCAGGTTGCCGTGAGTCTCCAGCTTCTCCGGGCACACACTTGGCTCCGGTTCTATAAACGTCCACCACTTTGACACCACCGGGGGCCATTCTGGTGACAGGGACCTGTTCCTGTGCAGTAAAATGAGAGCCGCTGACGTCTGGTGTGACTGGGCCACTTTCCTGATGGCCAAAACTCTGATGCTGAGCTATACTGTCAGGAGTCCCGGGCTCAAGCCTCATCTTTTTGGTCACAGGACTACCCAGGCCCTCACATCTCTCTGTGTCCTCAGGAACTTCCAGGTCACCACTGGCTTCTGATGGCTTACTGGCCCAGTCTCTACGGACAGGACAGCAGGGCTGATCTTCAAACTCGAGCATTGGAATGATGGAGGCATCCCCACCTGCAAAAGAAGAGACCTCTTAAAAGCCAGTGGTTCTCAAAGTGAGGCCTCAGGACCAGCCACATCAATGTCCCTACGGAATTTGTTAGAAATGCCGATTCTCGGAAGCCACAGTCGACCTGCTAAGTCTGAAACTCTGGAGGTGGTCGCCCGCAGTGTGTATTTTAGCTCTCCAGGTCATTCTGAGGACCGGAGAACCACTGTCTGAATCAAAGTCTAATTCTATTTTCCTAGCTCACTTGAGATTAGGAACACTTGCCCAAATTTCCCGAGGAAGAATCCTTTGTGGCTCTATCCTACCTAGACCCAGTGAGTTAGAAACTCTGGGGTGGGGGTGGGGGGTCTGGAAAGCAGAATACTTTAACAAAGATCCCAGGTAATGCTCATCACAGGAAGTTTTGGAAACACTAGCTTTGACCAGGGTTTGTCAACATTCATAATACTGATGTTTTGGGCCAGGTAATTCCTTTTGTGGGGGCTATCTTTTACATCATAGGATGGTTACCAGCTCCTCAGTCTCTACCTACTAGATACCAATAGCACCCCAAGTCTGGCCATCAAAAATGTCCCCAGATGTTGCTAAATGGCCTCTGAGAAGCAAAACTGTCCTGAGTTGAGAACCCTTGGTTTACAACGAGCACAATTTCCCAAGTGCATTTTGTGGAATGTTATCCTGTAAGACGCTTTGGAAAATAAAAGTGGGAGGTTGGTTTCATGGTTAAATATTTGGCAAATATGTTCCCAAATTCCCCATCTTGGAGATTTACGTGCATATCTTCACAGTAAAGGCTTTGCAGTGAATTACACAAGTGGTGTTTCCCTGTGCTGGGTTAGAGATTTCTGACTCAACTCTGTGCTTAAACAGAAACACAGAAAACCAGAGGTTAGCAAAAAGCACAGCGTCCTCTGGAGAAGGGAGCTACTTCTTCAAACACTAACCTAGTGTGTATGGCTTTTCTAAAGTGTGTAAATAATACATCTGTAGCCTTTATAACCTAAGAGTGGGAAAGGCAAGAAATGTAGAACTGGGACTGTGGCCAGAGAGGCTGGCTGGCGGACTTCCAGAGACCTCACAAGGGGACAGTGACTTTGGAGAATTGACTGGGCCCACCTCCCACTCTGAAGGCTCGGATATTTGATCCAGACAGATGCCTAAACTTGAGAGGCTGACTCATGCTAATAAAACTCACAAGTAAGAGTCTGAAATAGCTAATCCAGGCACCAAATTATCAATTAGTAATGAGGAATAAATGCAAAGGGAGACAGTTACATTCTCCAGGTAGTATTCTTTTCTCCTGCAGACAAACCATGCATGGGCATCGCAGTACAAAAGATGACCTATTAGCCCAGGGTAGTTGGGTTGGTGGGTTTAGATTTTTATTTCACAGACCAGTAAAATTTCCAGAAGATTTTAAGATCAACAAAGGGGGTGGTCAATTTTGTATTCCATCAACTAAGGTCTTTAAAAATCCTAATTACTACTATTTTTTTTTCCTAATTACCAATATTTAAAATAAAATAAATCAAAATCTCATAACCTTTTTGTGGAAAGAAATTAGATTTCTTAAAAAAAAGAACTTATTTATTTATTTGACTTTTAAAGATTTTATTTATTTATTGGACAGAAAGAGAGAGACAGAGACAACGAGAGAGGGAATATAAGCAGGGCATGTGGGCGAGGGAGAAGCAGGCTTCCCGCTGAGTAGGGAGCCTGATGTGGGGCTCGATCCCAGGACCCTGGGATCATGACCTGAGCCAAAGCCAGATGCTTAAGGCCTGAGCCACCCAGGTGCCCCAGAAATTAAACTTTTTGAAAAACTCACTATAGTCCAGATTTTTCCCATCTGGCTATAGACCAGCCTGTGGACCACTGACCTATGTGGTCTGATTAGTGGGTGAGGCTAGCTGTGATCCACAGATGCATCTCTCTCCATCATAAGGCTACACCTACCACTGGGTCAGCCAAGCCCTAGCTACTCCAAGTGTGGTCCATAGGCGAACACCACTGACATCATGGGAACTTGGTTAGAAATGCAGAACCTGGGGCGCCTGGGTGGCTCAGTAGGTTAAAGCCTCTGCCTTGGGCTCGGGTCATGATCCCAGGGTCCTGGGATCGGGCCCTGCATTGGGTTCTCTGCTCCGCGGAAGGCCTGTTTCCTCCTCTCTCTCTGCCTGCTACTCTGCCTACTTGTGATCTCTGTCAAATAAATAAATAAAAAATCTTAAAAAAAAAAAAAGAAATGCAGAACCTTAGGTTTCATCCCAGACCTAATGAATTTGAATCCACATTTTATTAAGATCATTCACTTGCATTTTATAGTGTGAGAAGCACTGAGTTAAGAAACATCCTTTGGTTCTTGGACCAGGGTATCCAGGGCTAGTAAGAAAGCGGAGATGAGCCCTGCCTTTCTCTGTATGTCATTTTCTGGCCTTTGACTCAACCGATTCTTTTATGAGACTCATCCTTCCTTAAGCTGTATTATATTTTGGATTTGAATTATGACAAGTCTTGACGGCTCTTCTGTCTCTTCAGAGCAAGTACCTATATCTGCTCTAATTGCATGTGTAGTTTTAAAGTTTAATACTTAGAGAACACTGTTAGAGCCCTCCTTCAAAGGTTTTAGAGTGGGTGAAGTTTACGGCCATCCCTGAGCTGCTATCTAAAGAGAGCAGAAATTCTCCATTTTCAAAATAAAAAAAACAGTGGTCTCCTCTAGGCTAGGTTGCTTGATGCAACCACAGCCCCTGAATGTCCCCATATAACTCGTCAAAATTTAACTTAACTGATCATGACTGTCTACACTCTATGAGGCTAAGAGTCTTACTCCCTGCTGTAGACCCAACGTCACATTGTACCTGACAAGTAGCAGAAAATAACTGTTGAAGGAGTGAATGAATGGAATGAGTTTCAGGATAAATTACTATAGAACTCAGGGCTCTGGACTTCTAAGCCCAACTGCTGGTTTCAGACCTTTGTGGAGTTTCCGCTTGAAGCTTCCCAATCCTGACTGGGAACCGAGAACCACAGCGTTGTTCCTTGATGGAGAAGTGGTCAGGCACCGTGGCCCGTTCAGAAAAAGGCAGTGTCCACTGCTTGCAGCTACACTGCAGCCAGAAAAGCTTTTCTGAGGAATATATCTAAGGATAAGAGGACATAAGGAAGTAGACAATGTAATAATGATCCAAAGGGTTGGCTATACTTACAGGGTGTATGGCTGGAGAAAAACACAAAGGAGAGGTCTGGCCTGAGTTTCCACAGCCCTCTCTGAGTTCCAGGGACAAAGATGCTATCCTCCTTCAAGGCAGCCGCCAAGTAGAGCTGATGGAGAAGGTACCTAATTGGGGCACAAGGTGTGGCCAGAATGAACAACCAAACACTTTGGTGAAGTGTAAGACTGGCTGGTTGATGATTAAGCGAGAGTTACTGCAGACCGATGGGACTGGCAGTGATTTGGAATTTCCAGGATGATGCAGACCAGTGATTCTCAAAAGTGTGGCCCCTGACCAGCAGTATCAGCATCATCTGGAATTTGTTAGAAATCCAGGTCCCTCCCCTGACCTGCTGAATCGGAATTTCCAGGGAAGGGCCCAACAATCTGAGTTTTCACAAACATAGGTAATTCTGATGCACACCAAGTGTAAGGACCACGGTCTAGACCAGGGCTAATCAAAGTGCGGTTCACAGACCGACATCATCAGTGTTACTCGGGAGCTTATTAGAAATGCAAATTCTGGGGCTCCCCATGGCAGGCTAAGTCAGATTCTCTGGGGTTGTCCCTTTACCTTTGGAAACTCCTCCTGGCTATGACCTCAGCGTGGCTATCATTGAGGATGTCTCCTGTGGCAAAGACAGGACACTAGTGAAGACACAGAGAACCAGAGGCCCTGTTTCCCTGCAGTAGAACACAGCAGTTTCCCCAGTTACCAGGATGGCCCTGGAGCTCCTGGAGGGCTCTGTCAGGAAGTACTGCGATCACTGATGGCAATACAGGGCCTCCTCAAATCAGTACTACTGACACCTTGGGTTAGAAAATTCTTTGTTGTGAGGCTCTGTCCTGTGGAAGGGAGGATGTTTAGTAGCATTCCTGGCCTCTAGCACTAGAGGTAGGTAGCATAGTAATGCCCTCCCCTGACTTCTGGCAACCGAAAATGGAAAATGTCTCCAACCACTGCCAGAGGTCCCCCAGGGGACAAAATCTCCCCACAGCTGAGAAGGACTAATTTACAGGAAAATAGATGGAGGAAAGGGGTCCAAATCTTTTGTGGCCTGATATCACACTTGAGCTTGTGGTGATACGATTCCATCAAATTCAATCCACAGTGGTCCAGGCACACAGGAGGCAAGGCTGGGAAAATGGGGAAAGCAAACCTGGGAAGGAATCTAACTGGAAGCAGGAGGTGAAGATGCCAGCTTTCCAAGGGATTTCCATATTCTTTTTGTTGTCCAAATCTCCATCAATTCAAGATTGCTTTGGGGGGGGGGGTTCAGACCTAATGGGGAGGAGCTGCTCCAGGGAAATTTTGGTTTGCGCCGGAAAATACCGGCCAACTTCCAATCTACGCAGAAAGCATGTTCCTGGCCGCCTTTGCTTCCACTGTTTATTCTGATTCTTAAACTGAGTTCTGACCTTCCCAGTGGAGTAACAGTGGGAAAGGAAAGGTCAGCCACCTCAGTGATGTGGCCCCTTTTAACAGGATGAGGAGAGGAAAGGACAAAATGCAAAGTGCTTTCCAACGCGCCCTGGATGAATGCTGTTCAGACCACCCGGGCTTACCGCTCTTCCTCATTTTGGACTGGCCTATACATTTCGTTCCTGTTCCCATTGAGACAACTTCCTTTGTCACTGAGAGGGAAAGAACGAATCATTAGGTGAGCTCCCGTACTGTGAATGGTCCCCAGCCCTCAGGTTTCACGCATGCACACTCCTCCAGGGCATTCCTATAGGGGACTCAACCCAGGACTGTGTTGCAGCACCGCAGGCTCCAACCACAAGTACTGCGCCCCCTGGTGGAGAGCAGGGGGAACATGCCCATTGCTGTGGCGGACGCCCGCCAGGACTGTCCCTGCACAGCCATGAACAATTCTCCTACCATCTCTGATAGTGAGAGGGAGCGATGGAAGGTGAAAAGGCCTCACCTTGTGCTGGTTTATTAGTGATGCCATGGGCCTGGTCAGCTGCAGGTTGTATCTTTACCACGGCTGCTAGTAATGTCCACTCACGGTTGGGGTCAGGCTTCCCCTGCTTGGGCAGTCTGGTCCTATAGTGCTCATAACACAGCTGGGCAATCTCATCTGCAGTCCACATGGTCCGCGTTAGTGCTGAGCCTGATCAAAAATCACAACCATCAGAAGAACAGAAAAGAGAAGCAACGCAAGATGCTACAACTTGCCCAGGCGTTTCAATGGGCTTTCAGGGTAGCCTGACGTGTTCATACAGAGGTTTCTCTCTCTGGAACTCTAATGGGTCACTTTCTTCTACTACTTCCCTGTCCCCTCTCCACACACCACCCCCCCTTTTTTAAAAGATTTTATTTATTTACTTGATGACAGAGAGATCACAAATGGGTAGAGAGGCAGGCAGGGAGAGGGGGCGAAGCAGGCTCCCTGCTGAGCAGAGAGGCCCATGCGGGGCTCGATCCCAGGATCCTGAGATCATGACCTGAGCCAAAGGCAGAGGCTTAACCCACTGAGCCACCCAGGCGCACTGCCCCGCCCCCCCACCTTTTAAAAGCAGGCTTCATACCCAGCATGGAGCCCCACGCACAGTCTGAACTCACAATCCTGAGATCAAGGCCTGAGCTGAGATCAAGAGTTGGAGGCTTAATCCACTAAGCCACCCAGGCACCCCTCCCCTTTTCATTTTAAGGAAAGATCCAAGAAGTCCCAGTTTCTTAAAGATGTTTCTTTTTAAATGTTGGACAACTGACATGTATCTAATGAATCTCAACCTACTACTCAAAAATAAAAGTGCATGAGAGGGAAGTATCCTTGCTACTCCAATTTTCATTTGGAAGTAGCACATCAGATACTGCACACCTCAGCTGGATTCGGGCAGACTCTAACCATACAAGGTTTATCTTTCTGGGCAGATGTTCTTCTTTTACATCCTCTTTTTCCGACTTTTTTTCTCTTCTCCGACTTCCTCCCAGCAGATTGACTCTTGATCTCCCTCTAATAAATCTCCGATGACCCCATCAAGAAAACAACACTTTAATTTCTCCCATAATGTTTTATGAGGCAGGTGGGAGAAATGACAAAGCCCAGAGCTTTCTCACCAGTCAACCATTCTCCTCACAGGAGTCTGTGCTGGAGTGTGGGCTTTGGAGTTACCCTTTCTGTATTCTAATCCCGACTTTGCTACCAACTGGGTGATACTGAGTAGATTACCTAACCTCTCTGTTTCTGTGTCTTTATCTGCTAAAACAGGGATCACAGTAGTACTTAATCTATGGGTTATTGTGAGGATTAAGTAATATTTATAAAAAGCTACTGCTACAATGTTAAGCATAATTAATGTCAACTGTGATTAATGTTTCAAAAAGGAACATTTCATGTTCCTGATTGTCTTGAGCCCCCTGGGCAGCAGGGGGCTGCAAAGGCAATGTAAAGCCATGAATAAAAAACCATTAAGCATATCAGACCAGAGAGGCTACTTTGCTAGAAACCTGTCTACTCTTGACTCTGTGCTCACTCAATAATTTCATTTGGACTGAAATGTATGAAAAGCTTCTCAGCAGAAAATGAGATCATATGGTGATGGATACAGCTAAGCATTAAAAAAAAAAAAAAAAAAGGCATTGGGGCACCTGGGTGGCTCAGAGGGTTAAGCCTCTGCCTTCGGCTTGGGTCATGATCTCAGGGTCCTGGGATCGAGCCCCGTATGGGGCTCTCTGCTCATCAGGGAGCCTACTTCACCCTCTCTCTTTGCCTGCCTCTCTGCCTACTTGTGATCTCTCTCTCTCTCTCTGTCAAAAAATAAAATAAAGTCAGAGAACCAGCAGGCCATGTATCTCTCCAGGCAAAAGAAAAGTATGGGGTGGGGGGAGGGAAGAAAAAAAAAAGAAAAGTATGGGAGATCCTAGAATCCTCTATTTGGAAGGGATTTTCCCCCCTCATTTTGGGATTGGGTGGGGGAGAGCGGGCATCTCAAGGCATCAACGAGAAATTAAACCAGAGGCACATACCACGAACCATAGTAGCTAGGGAAGACAGAACTTGCCAGAAGTACCACTGACCCCCTAAGATGATGCAGCCCGGAACTATTCCATCCTCTCATTCACGTAATTGTCTGGGTGAGCGTGGACGGTAGCTGAAATGAATCCATGTTTTGCTAAACTAGGTCCGCTAAAATCCAAACTCCAAATCCACTCTCTCTTAGGTCTTGAGTAACGTCCTATGAAACAACAGCTCAGTTAAATAGGCAGGTCTTTGCCCACAAGATCGCATGTGGCAACACGCACAAAAAGCCCAAGAACCCACTCCCTTTTCAAAGTAAGGTGAAGGCAGCTCAGCTAACACGGGAGAAAAGGCTTTGGCTGTAGTCCCCTCTCCTCAGTAACCCCGACCGCAGCCCCTCCTCGGCAGGCTCTAGAGCCGGAGTGGGGCCCATTCGGCCAGAGAAGCTCTGGGCCCGTGAAACAGCGACAACCTGCGCGCCCACCTCCTCGGAAGGCGCGCAAGCGGCAGCGAGGCCACCCGCACCACGCCCGCCCGCCGCGGATACCGGCGCTTCCGGGAAACGGGACGCGCGCCCGGGGAGGCACGGTCCATGCCACCACTTCACACACAAAACCGGCTCGGGAAGGCAGACCGAAGGCAGCTCCCCCAGCAGCCTTGGTGGAGGGGGTCCCCCACACTGGCGCGCCCTCGGCCCGCCACCCCACCACCTGCCGGACGCTCCCCTCTAACCTCCAAGGTACGCGCCCTGAGGGGCAGCGAAGAGAATCGCGGGACGTAGTGGACGTAACTTCCCAAGGAGGCCGCTCTTTCAGGCCCCGCCCCCAAGGGCGCGCTGTGCACTCTGGCCCTTGTAGTCCTTCTCGGTTGGAGCCCCGCGTGTTGGAGTGTGAAATGGCCCAACGGAAGCTGGTAAGATGGTTCAAATAGTAGAATGATGTCGTATCTTGAAACACTAGTCTGGGGCACCTGGGTGGCTCAGTGGGTTAAGCCGCTGCTTTCAGCTCAGGTCATGATCTCAGGGTCATGGGATCGAGTCCCACATGGGGCTCTCTGCTCCGCAGGGAGCCTGTTTCCTCCTCTCTCTCTCTGCTTGCCTCTCTGTCCACTGTGATCTCTCTCTGTCAAATAAATAAAATCTTAAAAAAAAAAAAAAAAGAAACACTAGTCTGAATTTCTGTCTAAATCAGTAAGGTCCTGCAGAAATATACGATGAGCCACATAGTGCAATTTAAAATTTTCTATAGCTACATTTTAAAAAGTCAAAAGAAACAGGTGAAATTAATTTTAATCATATATTTTATTTAGCCCAGTGTGTCCAAAGTCTTGTCATTTCAGCGTGTAACCAATATTAAAAAAAAAAAAAAAAAACCAACTGAGATATTTTACATTTTTTTTTCATACTTTAGAAATCTGGTATGTGTTTTACACTTAAAATGCCTCTCAATGTGGACTGGCCACATTTCAGATCCTCAATAGCCACACATGGCTAGTGGCTGCTCTAATGGATAGCCTGGGTCTAAAACCGTCAGGTTGCCAGGAATAGTAGCATACTTTGTCTGGATGATTCAGGAGCCCGTGCCATCCAGCAATTGTATACCTCAGTTCCTAAAGGTGAGAGAATTCAGTTTTCTTCTCCGTAAACTTCAAAAGTTAGAGGAGACAGGAGTGCAACTTACTTGACCCCATTCTTATCTCCAGTTCAGGGGAAAAGGGCCACAGACCTCCTCCAAGGCTAAGGACCCTGCTCATTATCCCTTTCTAACATCTTTAACCTGCAACTGCCTCCCTCTTCTGCCTTTAAAGAGGCACTGATCCTGGCGGTGGGTGGGGTGGAAAGTCATCAATCTCAGGGATCGGTACCACCATCAGTGTAGTCAAATACACTGTAAAATGAGTCACTCTCTTTGTCATTTTCCTTCCCGTAACCCCCACAATGTAATCCACTGCCAAGTCCTGTTCGTAACTTCTTGTCTTTTGAATATATCCATTTCTGTCCATTTCCATGGCAATAGCCCAGTCTGTCTTCCCCTTGGATTGCTGTACTAACCTCTAGACTTAGACCTTTCTTTGCCCAACTCCAATTCTTTTTCACAGAGCAGCCAGACTGCTGTTTTTAAAACACAAATGTGATGTCACTGCTTAAATACTTTAGTGGCTTTCCAGGACTCTCAAAATACATAATCCCATAGCAAGGCTCAGAGATTATTCAAAATTCCATAATAGGGCTCATACCCCTGTATGACCAACTTCTTCCTGCCTCATCTGGTGGCATGTCTTATGGGCTCTCTCTAGTGTCATTGGCCTTTTCTATGCTCTTTCCTACCTCAGGGCCTTTATGCTTGTTGTTACACCATGGAAAACTCTCTCCTTTGACTAGTTAATGCTCCATTTTCTTTCAGATCTCAGATTCTGATATCCTTGGGGAAACCTTCCTTAACTGAGTCTGTTAGAGTTTCTCAATACCGCATGGATCTCTCCTTCAAAGCATTTATTAGAACTGCCATTCTACACAGTTGAAAAATGATTTAATAAATGTCTGTTTTCCATACAATTCTAGAAGCTCGATAAAACTGGAGACCATGCCTTTGTTTTCGCTCCAGTATAACAGTTAGCAAATTGTGAGCTTCAACTGTTGAAGGAGGTAATGAGGACTTTATAATTGCAATCCTTCTGTTCCTTCTGGCTTTCATCTTGTTTGTCATTTTTCCGTCACACCCCACAAACATGTTGTCTACTGCTTCAGTTCATCTGTCTCCAGCCTTTTTTTTTAGATTAAAAAAAAATTTTTTTTTGTTTATTTGACAGATCACAAGTAGGCAGAGAGGCAGGCAGAGAGAGACAGGAGGAGGCAGGCTCCCCGCTGAGCGGAGAGCCCGACACGGGACTCGATCCCAGGACCCTGAGATCAGGACCCGAGCCGAAGGCAGAGGCTTTAACCACTGAGCCACCCAGGTGCCCCAAGTCTCCAGCCTTCTTGAGGAGACAGCTGGTGTCTGCGCCCAGCCTACTACTAAACAACTCTATTTTTTTTTTTTTTAAGATTTATTTACTTGAGAGAGAGAAAGCAAGCACAAGTAGGAGGGGCAGAAGGAGAGGGAGAGAGTCTCCAGCAGACTCTCCGCTGAGTGTGAGCCTGAAGTGGGGCTTGATCCTGCAATCCTGAGATCATGACCTGAGCAGACACCAAGAGTCAGATGCTCAACCGACTGCCCCAACCAGGCGACCCTAAACAGCTCTTCTAAGGTCACTTGGGACCTTGATGGTCCTTGTTGCCTTTTCCAGTGGTAGCGTGGCTTGCAGTCCAGTAACGTTTATCTTGAACCTATGCCGTCTCCTTTGGGGAGGTGGTTTTCATTTTAATTGAATACTGTCTTGTGAAGGATGTGCAATCTGGAAGTGTTTCTTCTGAAATGCCACCTGGTCATCCACCACCAATGCCAAGTGCTCCCAGAGCCTGTGTTTAAATGCCAGCGAGGGGTGGAGGTGCTCAACACGGAGCTTAATTCCCAGCGAGGGGATTCTGTGTGCTCAGATCAGTGTACCAGCTATAGAAGTGACACCCTGCTGTCAAAGTAGACTCCTTGGGACACTTGCAGGTTTTGCTGAGATGAGAAAGACAAGTTGTTCAGGGTAGGACTCACCTATAGTTTCCCCCAGCTGCCTCACGTGTTGGGGCTGGGGGCTCCACCTATAGTTTCCCCCAGCTGCCTCACATGTTGGGGCTGGGGGCTCCATTTTTTTTTTTTTTAAGATTTTATTTATTTTATTTGACGGACAGAGATCACAAGTAGGCAGAGAGGCAAGCAGAGAGAGAGAGGAGGAAACAGGCACCCCGCTGAGCAGAGAGCCCGATGCGGGGCTCGATCCCAGGCCCCTGGGATCATGACCTGAGTCAAAGGCAGAGGCTTTAACCCACTGAGCCACCCAGGCGCCCCTGGGGGCTCCATTTTAACAGCAGGCTCTCGGCCGTACCCTTGTCTCATTCCTAGCCCAGCTGAAATGAGCCGAAGGTAATGAGAAAAGTCCAGACTTATGTTCATCATACTTACTGTTCCTGACATTAAATGAGGTCTGAAACCCAATGCTCATTCTTTCCTCTGAAATTGCACTTCCTGGTTTGTCCCATTTCAGTAAATGACAACTCTTCAGTTGTTCAGGCCCCAAACTGTAAAATCATTTTTTTAAAAAAAGATTTTATTTATTTATTTGACAGAAAGAGATCACAAGTAGGCAGAGAGGCAGGCGGCGGGTGGGGAAGCAGGCTCCCCAGTGAGCAGAGAGCCCAATATGGGACTCGATCCCAGGATGCTGAGATCATGACCCGAGCCAAAGACAGAGGCTTAACCCACTGAGCCACCCAGGCGCCCCTAAAATCATATATTTGAATTCTTTTTCTTACAACCCAAGTCCCCTCACCAAATTCTACGAACCTCAGGACCAGGCGGAGTCCAATGACATGTAACCAACTCCATTACTTCAAACCATCAGCTACCGTCTCCCTCTAACTCTTGCCCTCCCTGTGCTAACTACAGCAGTATTTTCAAAGCACTCTGCCAGAAACCCTCCAATGGCTACTCATGTCACGCATAATAAAACACACGCTCCTCAGCATGGCTTACAGCGGCCTGGGTGATCTGGCCCCTTACAGCCTTTGCTTACTCCTCTCCAGCCACACCAGATGCTTTGCTATTCATCAAAAACAGTCCTCGGGGCGCCCGGTTGGCTCAGTTGGTAGAGCACACAACTCTTGTTCTCAGGTAGAGTTTGAGCCCCACGTTGGGTGTAGAGATTACTTAAAAATGTTACCTAGGGGCGCCTGGGTGGCTCAGTCATTAAAGCCTCTGCCTTTGGCTCAAGTCATGGTCCCGGGGTCCTGGGACTGAGCCCTGCATCGGGCTCCCTGCTTGGTGGGGAGCCTGTTTCTCTCTCCCACTGCCCCTGCTGGTGTTCCCTCTCTCACTGTGTCTCTGTCAAATGAATAAATAAAATCTTAAAAAAAAAAAAAAAGGGTAATCTAAAAGTTTTCTCTGATTATATATTTAAAATAGCACTGTCCCCCAACCACCTCCTTCTAGAATAGCACTTCTGTCCCCTGACCTGTTTTTTTTCTTAGTATGTACCAGAAATGTGTATTTACTTGTTTCTTGTCTAGTTGCCCTCAACCCCTAAATGAATACAAGTTCCACAAAAGTAGGAACTTGGCTTTTGCTCACTGCTGTCTCCAACCCCTCAGCACAATGCCTGACACAGAGCAGACATGAATACAAAATTGTTGAATGAATGAAGTGGTATAATCTTAAACATCCACTAGGCCAGCTGTCTGAGTAAAAGTTGACATTCTACAGAAAACATAGTCATGAGACGCGAGTAGAGACAAATGGTTTATTTGGGAACAAGAAGTAAAAAGGAATTTTTAATTCCTCTTCTCTCTTTTGGTGGCAGAACCGAACTGTGATCGTTAAATGGAGAGCAACACACAAGAATTCCCCCGTAGTCCTTGACTGAGTTATATGACTTGCCTGAGGCCTGAGTTATATGACTTGCCATCGTTTTCTAGACTGAAGTGCCAGCTGTTGTGTTATCTGACGTATCAGTGGTGGCCCCACTCTCTTTCTTGTCTTCGGGTTTCATGGCAGGAAAGAGAAGTACTTCCTACAGGAGAGAAAATGCATTCTGAAGGAAGCAGCATGCTCTTTTTCACAGCTGTCCACTCATTCCTTTTGCTTCTGGTTACTGTGGCCCAAATCCAGAGATCTCGGCTTTTA